TATATATTTTAAGTAATTTAATGTTCATAAATGTTGGATTTGGTATAGAACTTGACGTAGTTTCTATATTTAATTCAGAGCTCGCGTAAAATCTTTTGTGAGCAGTGAACATGAGCAGAAGATAATACAAAAAATATTTCTATGGGTCTGTTCTGAAATTTCTTCGGCTCACATAAACTAAAGCTTGGAAAAAAAATTGTAAATGGATTTATTTTGGTACTGGTTCGCCATTTCATTTGGCATACCAATGAGCCATTTGGGTACAGGGTATTCCACATTCGTGTACTGTGATTCATAAACCAGGAGTCTGTCTCCTTCACTCTCGCAATCTCTCATTCCTTAACTATTTTTCTCGGTCTTGCTCTATTTTTCTTTCTGTATCTCTCTCTCTCTCTTTCTATCTCCCCCTTCCACATTTTAGATTCCTGGATCCATTTAGTCTCCCACCAACTTACAGGGTATTCCATATTCGTATACTGGCTCGCTCTTGTCATCTAGCACAATTTTCATAAATCACTTAGACAATGGCCATCAATAAAAGAGCTCTCTATCTCTATTTGTCTCTCTCTCTCTCTCTTTCACACTAATAAATCAGCTTAGAGCCATAAGCCAAAGCTATCCATATCTCCCGCTCTCTCTCTTTCTCGCTCTATCTGCAAGAAAAGACTTTGCCATCATTATATCACCGTGAGACAAAGATCCTTCAACTCTGTGGCAATCCAGAGATTTAAAGATCCATTCAGCATGGAAGACAGAGGCCCTCGAGCCCTTGGTTAACAGTTGACAGTATTTATATTTATTGGTTATTCGTGAAATATTCGGTAGTCTTTTGGCCAAGTTGCGACTTTGCAATCTTTTACATAATACAACATAATTTCTTTTCTTTCTTCCGTTACATAGGAAATTCGTATATAAAAAAAAAGTTAAACAAAAAAAGAAGAAGAAGGAAATTACAAACAATTKCTCAGTTATGTACAGTATATACAGGATGCTGGGATGGGGGGCTGTGCCTGGAGCCTTAGGCCCAGCCGCCAGCTGGCTGCCAGCCACCGCCGCCGCCGCCACCACCACCATGTCCGCCACCGCCGCCGCCGCTGCTCAGCTTAATGATTTTGATGACTTTGGTGGCACCACCGCCGCCTCCGCCGCCACCACCTGAAGACCAGCCGCCGCCCCCACCGCCACCACCAGACGACCAGCCACCGCCGCCGCCGCCGCCGCCATGGCCGCCACCACCGCCGCCAGCGCTGCCCAGGCTTATGATCTTAATGAGCTTTATGTCGCCACCGCCGCCGCCGCCACCACCGCCTCCTCCAGAAGACCAGCCACCGCCGCCTCCGCCTCCAGAGGACCAACCGCCGCCTCCACCGCCTCCGCCAGAAGACCAGCCGCCGCCACCGCCACCACCGCCGCCGCCGCTCTCTGTGATGACTTTGATGACCTGCACGTCACCACCGCCGCCACCACCACCGCCATGTCCGCCTCCACCACCGGATGACCAACCGCCACCACCGCCACCGCCGCCACCACCACCCGAAGACCAGCCGCCTCCTCCAGGTTTGGGCTTGGCCGTTACGCTGGCTGCTCCAATCAGCAGAAGACACACAAAGGCCTGCAGGAGAGAGAAGAAGAGAGTGACTCTTAAACTGTGTACATACAATGACTCTATAACTGTGAGTGTGTATGTTGCGCTAATAGTAATTCTTGAGTGCGAGTGAGAGAGCTGTAACATAACCGATGAGAGAGAGAGAGAGAGTTGTAACATAACCAATGACTCTTAAACTGTTGAACTAGTCTAGCTTCGCTGTGACTCAGAAACTGTGACTGTAAGTCTACCAGTTGATGTCGAACTGTTGCTCAACAACTGTGGAATAAATCTAGCCGAGGGCTTGTCAAACTGTGACTCTTGCAGGTAGTGACTCGAAAACTGTGACTATAGACTGTAAGACTGTAACTGACTGACTTTAACTATAAAGAAATAACACTCAAACAGTGACTCAAAATCTATGACTTGTGCTTGTCAAACTATGATCTAGCTTTTGCTTTTATAGCTTGGACTGTTAACTGTGACCTAAACAGTGACTCTTTCAGCTGTTACTGTGATTGATATTAAGATATAATAACGCGGCTGTTGAACATAACTATCGATTCTTAAACAGTGACTCATAAACTGTTATGCAGTGATCAATGACTCCAATTTGTGACTCTTAAACTGTGCACTCTGACAAACTACATACATTTCCTATGCTAACAAAATGCACTGATTCTAAAACTGTGTGTCCCGAGTGGCTCACTCTAGGCTCTCTTAGAGAGTTGCTATTGCTCGCAAACTGTCAAAATCCACAGTGACTGTCAAACTGTTCAAGAGTTACTTTCAACGAACTGTATTGCTAACACAAAGTCGGGTATCTACTCAAAAGTTATTTAGCCTATGGTATCTTCCACACAGTGACTCCCAAACTGTAAGCTGTAAAGCAAACTGTCTTCTACTATAGTGCGACAGCCAATGTGACTGTGGCGCTCAAACTGTAGATTTATGTGCACAACATTTTGCTGTGACTCTAAAACTGTTCGCAGTCGCTCTGAAACTGTACTATCAATATATATGCACATATATTGGCAATATATTGAAGAAAACAAATAAAAAAGGATGTCAAGTCAAGACAAATGTCCTTAACGCGATCACAAAACACAAAAGCAACAAGAATAAAAACAAACAAAAAAAAAAAGAAAAAAATAAGTAAAATTGATCGACTGTTGCACGCGGCGTATGCGGAATAAAAAAATATTGTTCAACATTGCGTATGCGCAACGCAATGGCACCGTACAAAAAAACATGGCTGCACTTGTACGATTATCTGAATATATTCTCAGTTGGTTTTGAGTTGTTTGGCTAAGTCGGTTAGTCCTGCGCTGGCTGCTTTGACTGCGCCACGAATCGACACTGACATGACCACAGCTGGCGGCCCACACTTTTATAGCGACTAACCAAATGGCAGGCAACTGGCGGCACATTAACCGGAAAAACGTTTTTCCAAAAACCATTCGCTGCTGCATTCGCCATGCGGGCCGCGGGGCGACGTCGGTGGTGCGGCTGCAAGGGTTTGTGTGTTGCGATTTTTTCCCGCCGTTGTCATGATTTGTATGTGTGTGTCTGTGTGTGTGTGTGAGTGTGTCTCTGGCAATATGGGCCAAATGCTGCCGCATCATTGCCATTAGGCGAAAGTGAGACTCAGTCAGAGTCACACTCAGACTCTGGCATAAAATCCAGCCAGACGCCGCGCCAGCAGCCCCCACCCGCCGCCCTCCGCCTCCTGCGCCCCCATGCTCTCTTCATAACAGACAACAAACAGTTGCTGCCGCATCTGCAGCAGCAACAGCAGCAGCAGCAGCAGCAGCATCTGCCAGCGACTTGTTTGCGTTGCATCCGCAACCTCAGCCGCAGTCGCAGTCGCAGCCGCCGTCGCCGTCGCCGCTGCCGCAGCATTAACTCTGCACCTTTCTCATTACGTAAGCAACGGCTGCTGCTGTCTTTTGGCTTACAACTTGTTGCACTTTTTTTGGGTAGTTTTTATTGTTGTTGTTGTTGTTGTTGTTGTTGCCGTTTTTTTTACACCACTTACATCTGCCTGTCATCAATATCCATTATTGGGTTTTTTTCGCTGCTTAGCATATGCTGCGTATGCCACACGCCGTTAGGCGATTGCGCATACGCCGCGTGGATCGCAATGCGAATCGCCTTGCATTGGCATTAATGCCAAAGTGCAACTAGTCGCTCGCCCCCAGCAGCTGCCCTGAGGGCCATGTTGCCAGCGAACCTTGGTCTAAACGCTTTCTAGCCAACCGCAAGCCCATCAACCCGCCATTGACTTGAATCGATGCACAGCAGCTGCCCGATCCAGCTGAGTTTGTTGGCGAAAAGCCACATTGCATATGTAATCAAAATGAATTACATAAATGAAACATTACATACAAATTAATTATGCATTCACGACATTTATAAGGTAATTATTTCAATAGAAAGATATAATTTATAAGAATTGTATATCAGATTGTGATTCATGTGCATACATGATGTGGAAAACCACTGAGCAAATTATTATTATAATTTCACTTTCATATTCCCCCTACAAGTTTTGATCTCATTGCTGCAATTATAGAGGAGGTCGATCAAAAATAACATGTCTCTATCTCTCTCTGTCTTACTCTCTCTCTCTCTTTCTTTCTGCTTCATTCTCTCTCTCTCTCTCTCTGTCCAAATCTCTCTTTCTCTCTGTCTCTCTCTCTTTCTCTCTCTCTGTCTTAGTCTCTCTTTCTTTCTCTTTCATTCTCTCTCTGTCTAACTCTCTCTGTCTCTTTCTTACTCTCTCTCTCTCTCTCACTCTCTCTCTCTCTCTCTCTCTCTCTCACTCCCTGTCTCAACCACTCTATCCCTTTCCCTTTAATATTCTCCTTGCACTTCTCCTTCTCCTAGTTCTCTTCTCAACATTCCCTTCTAGCTTTTTAGCTTTTCTTCATTCTCCTCTTTGCTTAAGCCCACTTCTTTTTAATTCATTTATTGCTTGCCTTAAATTCTCTGATATTCTTTTACAAACTCTTTTCTTAATAAATTTATTTCTGTTTTCCTTGTATTTGTTTTTGAATGATTTTCTTTTATCGTGACTTTTTCCTAGGTTTTCTTCTCTTATCTTCCCACTTGCTTTCTCCATAATATTCTATTCTCATACCTTCGCTTGCTCTCTTTGATCTTATCTTCTTCGGTGCTATGCTGTACTTTTTCAAAGTAGAGCACAACCTTCTCCATTTTGTTCCATACAGAAGTTGACAAAGCTATATAAAGGAAATTAAATTTAAAAGTCATTAATTTATCTTTTTAGTTGTTTTTATTTA